AAAATTGGAATCAGCAGGTCAGACTTTTTACAGATTGGTGATCGGCCAGAAAACTGCAATCAGTGCACCCCTAGTTTTAACTATTTATCAAGATTGCAATACACATTGTACACATCGACATCCAAAACATCCAACGTTTATTAAAAAACATTAAACCAAACTTTAGCAAGGTTGGCGTGACAATGTTTTTTAATGAATGAAAGAGTAATTTGTGAGAGGATCATCAGAAAAGAATGAACAAAACAACTTAGTAAAGGGGAAGTATTAAGAGCGCAAGTGGGTGGCCAGATTAAAAAAAAAAAAAAGTCAGTCGTAAATCTGCAGTTATAAACAATCTGCTTTTATACCTGATCCATGAAGAGTGGAGCAAAACCTGCCTCAAGGCCCTTCCTACTCTGAGCCTTTTATTTCCTCTCTCTGCCTCCAATCAGCACATGGCTTCTATCAATTTATAGAAATCAGATATGAATGAGAGAAAAAAAACGTGGTGAAATCGCATCCAGTGACATTTTGACTGGTAAATGCTTCTGTCCATTGATTCGACAATTTATGTTGTCTAGTAAACAACAGCTGATCAAAACAAAACCGTTCAAACATGAGCTATGTAATAAATGAAAGAAGCACCATAATAGCGCAAGGTCACTAATAAACAGCACTTAATATATCTTTAGATTTTTTGTGGGGACGTTAATAGCTATTACAGAAGAAAAGGAGAGGTGAAGACAGGCCACATTCCTGCTGCCTGCTAAAGTGAACGCTACTTAAATGGGACACAAGTTCAAGAGGAACCCGATCCATCACACGGCAGCAAAAACAACACGTGTGCTCTGTTTAATGTTATTTTAACAAATGATGGATTCTGCTGCTTTCTGCAACACCTCATGGTACCATTTGTTCAAACCAGTGGAGCAGGAGCTGTTCTGTCCATGAGAAATGTTGCTTTTGAACACAACCAACAAAACCCCATTAAACCCATTTTAAAGACTTCTTCTTGACAAACCAGTGAACAGCTATGAGGTCTTTAGTGCGTTCTTTTATAGGATGACCAGGAAATTCTCGTAAATAATCTGACTCATTGGTATTTTGCCTGTTCTGTTTTAGCAAACTAGAAAAATGGAAATAATTATGTATATTTGAACACTGTGTAAACCAAAAGGCAAGTCTTTTCTTCTAACCCTCTCTCCTTATTGCTGCTTCATTCTTCAGCTCTCCCTCATTTCTATTTTAATCCAGTTATGTTTTATTGTTTTTACTCAGTAAGCTTCCTTCCAACTCCTTTTCTTCTCCTTCCATCGTTCTTTCTCCGTGTACCTGACATTTGGCTCAACAGCCTGGCTTACACCAAAAAGTTATGACCTCATTTCACTGCAATGTTCCAGTTACAGCACAGCGAATAAGACAACACGGGGTGGAATGTGTGCGATTTAGACTGGAATAAGACAAATGGAGGTGTGAAGATGCAACAGCCTGGCACACAGACACGCAAACAACAGGCTGTGACTGGGAAAACTTTGGAAATAAAGGAGGAAGCTTAGACGGGCATTCGATCAGAATAAAAAGGACAAAGCGGAGCTAAGAGGGAGGAAATAAGTGAAACAAGTAGAGGTTAAATTAATGGGATTCAGTATCACAACACTGCTGTGGGTGAAATGAGCCAAGCTCGATGACAAAAGCTCTTCCTCTCCTCCTCCAAACAGCGCATTTCTTCCTTTTCTTAACTCTCAGAACCTTCCTGTGATCCATTTTAGCTTGGCACAGTCATTATTCCACTCAGTCCAAATCACACAGGTCGCCAGAGTGCACCGGAGCTGCAGGGTACCGCTCCGAACACAGTGCACCGGGTCCAAGCCTTAGAATAAGACATTGATATGTTCCAGGCAAACAATTTGCTCAAGGGCTCGCGCATACACACACACAAGGAGGAAGCAGAGAGAAACCAGCTTAGAATACACACACACGCATGCAGAGACAAGCCACCAATATGCACTCACACACAACCACCAGCCAGCAGGGCTGGACTTCATCAAACCATTCAGTTACCACAACAACTTCCTATTTCCCTAAACCCATTTCCTGCTTGGAGAGGTCGCTCGCAAGCTACTGCTCCAGTCGCAACAGCAAACAGGAGGGACAGCTAATGAATGCCAGAGAGCATCTGTTCATCTACAGAATGATATTCACGAGCTGTAAACCATCTTGAGATGACCTCAAAAGTCAAGCAACAGCAAAATAAATTAAAAAACAACAAGCTAAGTCTTTGTTTTGGCAGTTTATAACAGCGTGGCTCCGATTACTGAGACAAACACAGTGGCAAATCAGCAGTAGCAACATCAGGCCTCGACACCAGAAACACAACAAACAGCAACAAGAGAGCAGTAATGATGTAATGAAACCAAGTGCTGTATCTGCAATGTTCTGTGATGAGCTCACCGGGTTCTTTTAGTTTCTTTGTGATTCACATTTACATCCATGTATAACCACAGGGCTGAGCCAGAATCATTTGTTTTTACCGAATTACAAGCCTACAAATTACCCATTAGTTTCCTATACAATATACACTCAAGGCAGCGAACGCCTCACAGCATCCCATGAACTGAATCTCTCTCTGATTCCAACTCTGGCAGAAACACAATGGACACTGGATAAAACAAACAAATGGAAACAAACAGTCTGTCCCTAATGCACTTTGATTGAGTTCTGTTTAACCAAACTAATAACATCCTCTGAGGTCTGTTTAACACTGTTCAGCTCTTAATTGCTTCTGTATTGTACTTTGTACTCCTGCACCCAAACACTGAAAAAAACCTTACAAGTTTTGAGACAGTGCAAATAAACACAAGTGCTGAATGGTGCGGTGTGAAGCCATAGGGGCCAAATAAGATGTGCTTCCAAAAGAACCGGTAAAGATAAAGCTTCACTGTGTTTATTTGGTTCAGAAAACAAGCACAAGTTATCAAGTATCTGAAACCGAACCATCAGAATTCGAAGACCTCAAGCAGCCCGAGAACACACAGCTATAAACACAATAAGGATGTTTAAAACCTAAAAATCTAAAAACAAAACTCTGAACTCACCACTTTTGGTTTGGTCCTCTGTGGAGCCGTAACGAGTGGGGAGTCCTCTGAGTCCACTTTTTGAGGTCCAGATTCTACGCTGATCTCACCGGGGCCCTCTGAAGTGGTCGGTAAACCTTGGGCTTCATCACTTGCTCCCCGAACAGGCCTGGCCTCAGAGTTTTTTTCATGGGTGCTAAGAATACATTTCTTTGTTGCATCCCCAAAAGCCAGGGCTGCATCACCTGGAGGTTTGCTTAAGGTTGGCGGTTTTACAGTGGACTGGACTGTAATGCAGTCCGATTCCTTCAGCGGCTGGAGTTGTGGAGGTGGGGAGATTGGGATGAAGGTGGCAGGCTCACTGGCATGGCAAACAGGCTTGGGTTTGGGTTTTGATGTCAGTGATAAAGCTGGAGGAGAGGATGTGTGCTTAATTTGGTTGCTGGGGTCCTCCTGTGCCTCTGAATCCAACTCAAGAGGTTCAAACTGGTCCTCATCAGGAAAAAATGCCAACCTGTTGGGACGTTTTCTAGTTGGACGACGTACCTTCCGAGGAAAAAAGACCTCAGCAAGCTTAAGGTCAAAGTTGAACTTCTGCACCTCCTCTTCTCCACCATGGCCTATTACATGATCTTCATCTTCAGGGTTGTCAGAGTGAAGACTGCAATCTGAAATCTTGACCTGTATCTGTGTAGGTTTAGACTCAGAATCCCACAATTCCTCTCTATGTTCACTCAGGATTGGCTCACTGCTGGAAGGAGGAATCTGTCCAGACTGATCCAGCTCACTGATTGGCTGAGGGCTGCCAGTTTGACCTTTATACTGAGGGTCATTCTGGGACAGTAAAGGAGCATCACTACGTCGACTGGGATCACTAAAAGACTTCTTCTTGGGAGTTTTGCCATTGCCATGGTCATCAGTGAGCAGTCTGTTCATTGCACCTGGCTCAGCTACAATGTTCCTGATCACCCCACTGTAGTCTTGGATGCTGTCTTCTTTGAGGCCCCCATCACTGTACACAGATAAGTCACTTGCTATGCTGCCTTTGTATTCTGACATTGAAGATGTAGAAGAGGCCTCTGGAGTGCCTCCCCCTCCTCCTTTGACAGATAGGGAACCCAGAAGGTTGCTGTCTACAGAAGAAAAGTTGTGGCTCCCTTCTTCCACAACAGAACAGCGCCGCTGAGGCATGGGGTCACTGAGAGAACGGTAGACTGTTGACTCCCCATTTCCTACAGCTGTTATTGTTGAATCAGCATGACTGCCATTACTTGAATCAGAGCTTGTGTTGTTGTTACCAGATGGGGAGAACTTGCGCCTCCGACGGCTAGTGCTTGGGGTGGCAGGGGCTTCAAATACCCCACCCCCTCCTCCTGCAGCTGACCCTTGTGACACAGCACTGTTAATGTGGAGCCCTTCTCTACCAGTGTTGGCAACACAAGCAGTGGTGCTCACCTCCATAAGAAGGTTGTCATTCTGAGGAAGAGCCACCGAGCAAGGCAAACCCTCTTTGCTCAGACGGTTTGTGCAACTCAAACTGTTCTCCGTTATTGCTGCTCCTTCCGGCTTGAAGCTTTCCATCTCATAAGCCGACTGCTTCCATCCAGCGACTGCCTGCGCAAGGACATCACTTCCTAATTTTGACCCTAAATTAACCCCTGCTGAGCCCAGAAACGACCTCTCCAAGAGATCACTGGGACCTGTCTCTGGCTCCGTTACAATCCCCTCGTCAGTTAAACTTGACTCGTGACCTGAAAGTTCATCCACGGAACGGTCATAGAGCATGCTTTCCTCCGAGTCACCCTTCTGTAAGGCTCCCTCCAGCTCTCTGCTCTGTCTCTTTGGCTTCTCCCAGAACTCTGTACCCCTGCTGTTTAGCTTCTCCAGCTGCATACTTTGTCCACTCCTCTGCCTCCTACTGTTCTCTCTCTCCTGCTCATGTTTATCTTTCTCTTTGGTGTTCTCAGACTCAGCCTCTAGAGCCACGCTTGTCTCATCCCTAATGCCTCCTGTTTCTCTCTTTTCTTCACTCGTTTTCTTTACCTGTAAAGATTTATCCCGCAATTTATCCTCACTTGGATTTACACTTGCATAATCATCATCATCTTCTCTTGTGCACATCTGGCAGATATCTTGAATGACCTGCCTAGCTTCCAGCACACACCTTTCTTGAAATGGAGTTGGCATCACTTCATCATCATCATCACCCAGTCTATAATTGCTCGTTTTTAGCCCTCGGCCAATTCTAAAATCCCCACCATCACTTTCTACTTCTCTGTCTGATAACACAGCCCTAATCTCAGCCTTATCTTCATCCAAGTCAAGCTGCTGCTCAGAGGAGCTTCTTTTAGTGGTGCCACATGCCAGGTAACACCTCGCACTTGTTGTAGGTTTGTCAGAATAAGTGAAGGATTTTGTACGTCTAAGTGTTGCAGTTAGATCTTTCAGCGAAGGGCGGGAACCCAAAGGTGGAGCAGTTCCTCCATTAGAGCCTGAGCCCCTCCTGTATGTTGATGACCCCTCCACAGCACTACTTCTGCCCCCTTCAGTTGTTCTCCTCACTTTGAGCCCTGGTAGACCAGATTTCAGAAAGCTTAAGAGGGTCATGGTTTCTGATGCAACATCAGTGTTGGATGTGGAAGTAGGATTTTTATTATCCCGCGCATCACCACTCCATGTTGTTTTCTTCAATCCAACTGTCTCACCACCTCTAACCTCTGAGGATCCCCCACCTTCTCCTGGATGTACATTCAACGTGGGTGTTACTGTTTGCATTAACTTGGGGCGCATGCGAATATGGGCACGGGAGAAGTTATCTCCATGGCCAAAGCTTGGGGAACGGTACATGGTAAAATTTCCATGGTAAGTTTTACTCAACACAGATGATGAAGCAGTTCTGCTTGTGCCACCTTCTGTTCCACTCCTACTAAGGAACATACTAGCTGAACGGTTGGCACGGCTACCCTGCTCCTCCTCTTTTAGAGTCTCAGTGCTGGAGTACCGGCTACTGCAGCGCGAATCATCGGGACTGGATATAAAAGGAGGTATGTTCACTTTTGATACTCGTGATACACCAGGAAGTGTGTTGGGCGTCACAGGTGAGGTGATGCGCTCCCAGTGCTGCACCTTGGCTTTGTAACTATGACTGCCATGTTCTCGTGCAGAGTGGCTCCTATGAATCATCCCCGGAAACACTCCAGTGTTCTGCTGCCTCTCCAAACGATCCATTGTCAAGGCCGTATCACTGTCGCTGTCTTCTGATTCACCATCATGATTATAATCATCACGGCCTGCTGCAGCAATAGCCTCACTGACCTTCTTCTTCTTTCTCAAAGAGCGGCGGCGCACTGTCTCTCGACAGTGGGGGCCTAACGAAGAGGGACTGTCCTCCTCACTGCCTGAGGACCTGCCAATGATCTTAGCCCCCCACCAGCCATTTTTACTGCGAGACAAATAGCTGCCTGCTCGCTCTGTAGCAGTCCTCTCTCCTCCTCTGCAGGTGACGGAGGGCTTAGGGTCAGAGGGATAACCTCTTCTTCTCCTGGTGTGCACCTCCTCCTCGTCTGCAGAGCTTAACTTCCAACGGGAGCTGAGAGCAGAACAAACTGTTGTTGGCTCAGAGGAAAGAGCTACAGTAGAGGAGCAGGAGTTAATGGCTTTATCTGGAGCTGGAGCAGAGGAGGTGGTGGGGGCTGGTGCTTTAGAGGAGCTATGCGAGGAATGTAAACTATCCCTGGGCAGCCCGACCCCCTGTCTATCCTTTCTCCCCCTCTCTGTCGGCTGCTGCTGAGAGGAGGCGCAGGAGGAGGCGTCTAAACTCGCAAATCCACTCCAAGACGAAGTAGCGCAGGGCTGAAGGTCAGGTTTAGGGTCAGATGTTGATCTTGTCGTCCTGGGGGCCTTCGATGCTGCCTCGGACTCAGTGCTGGGACTTCGAGACCTGTGTGGGGATGAGTTAATCCCACAGTAGCGACCAGTGTGACAACAGCTACTGCTCTGAAAAGTGTTTCTGCCAGACACTTGGTTTGTTTCTGTGTTTACTCCCTCGTCATGTGAACACTGACGATGCTCAGACGTGGAATAAAAGTCTATAGCACGAGAAGTCTCTGTAGCCGAGTGGCTTTGTCTGTCCTCATGCAAAGACAGGTCTTCTGTTTCTTTAGCAGAACTTCCACTTGTACCAGTGAAAGGAGCACCCTCACTGCAGCTTAGCTCCTGTAAATGCCTTCTGTCAGCTGCTTTTACCTCACATGTGTTAGTCTTGTGCAGTGTGTCATCAAAAAGTTGCCTTATCTTAGTCACACTGGGCCACTTGTCAGTTTGCGATGGAGCAATAAAGTCCCCGTGGTGGGTATGGCGATAAGCTCTGTGAGATTTACAAGGCGGGGGGACCTCTCTAACATCCTCCTCTTCCTCGTCTGTAGTCAAACTCTTTTTGAGATGAGCGGGTCGCGCGTTGATCTGAGAAGAATCTGTCTTACCCGTGCAGCTGCTGTCCGTCGACAAACACAGCACCCGCCTCTCCGAGTCTGAACCCGACACTGACTCGGTGCCGGAGTGGAGCTTTTTAGCGTCCGAAGGAGACTCCGCGTCCGTGGCGGGCCCGTCCTGGAGGCAGCCCGCTCCTCCGTCCTCCTGGGAAGATTTACGAGCCGGAGGCGCGTCTGTCCTGCCGGAGCCTGGAGCCCAGAGGAGGCTGAACCTCTCAGAGAGCTGGCGGATGGATGGAGACACAGAGGGGAGAAAGGCGGAGGAGCTTGTTTTGGAGTCTGCGGTTGGGAGGCTGGCGGAGGCACAGATCTTGGAAACTTTTCTTGACGCGCTGCCTTTACGCGCCGCGCAGGACGCGTGTGCGCGGACAGCGTCCAGCTCCGGTGCGCTCGTGCAGCTGGAGGCCAGCTTCCTGAAAGAGACGCTGCGGTACACACCCGCATGGTTCCCCCCTCTCTCAGCCATTGTTCATGTCTTCTCTTTGTCTGCGGCTCAGGCGCACATTTTAAACCTTCCCAGCCTCCTCCCGACTCATTCTGTCCCCCCCAGCAGTCCCAGTCAAAACTTTTTAAAACGTTGTCAAAGCTGAGAGTCTTTAA